GGACAGGGAACACCATTCTTTCCTTCCAAAACAGCTACAACATTTCACAGAAAGGCCGAAAATAATTTTCATTTATACACCCAAGCATGCCCCTAAAGCCCAGCAATTAGGAACACAGTTCGCTATTGCAGTAAAAAGGCTAAAACTGCAAAGTTTATAAAGTTTCCATCTACATTGCAAGGGAATTTGGCTCTTGAGTGAAAGCCTCCGGGTAAAGCAGATACTGAAACATATCTTTGCCTTTCAAAGTTCCTATTTCCTCAGCATGACACATTTTGTCATTCAACTTGTTCCTGAAAGGGAGCACACAAATGGCATTTTTCAACAATTAGAAGGTAAAAGAGAAAGGAGAGAGAAGCTTTCAGTGCCAGACCTTTTCCAAAGTAAATGCGTACAGCTCAATAAAGCAAGTACCTTCAGGAATGCAAAAAACCACTGTGCGTAGTGCTGGAGCTCTTCTGGGCGAGAGGCTAGAATGGACTTAGTAATGCTGCTTGGCTCCTTACAGACAACACAGCAAAGCAACTCACAAACCCAGGCACTAAAAACCACCAGTGACAAGGATTATATTTTAAAAATTAAGTGCTATCTAGGAAAGCAGCATGGATACAGCAAGGCTTCAAGTACGAGAGCCACCCCTGCTGTCTCCAAATTGCTTGGATTCTCTTAAAGAGAGACAGGATATATATATATATAAACCAACCCACCGTACACAAATAACAGCATGATTCACACCAAAAGGCAGTGGGCAGGGACAGAAAAATGAAATAAGCAACCAAAGGCTGAGCAGGACGAGGTGGTGTGACATACCAGTAAGAACAAGGGGAGGAGCAGCAGCTGGAGCAGCAGCTGCCCAGGCACCCTGGGCAACTTCTGAAACATTCAACTGTACATGGTATGAGCCAACACACAAACAGAAAGCAAGATAAAAATGTTGTACAACAGCTGATAGCTCCAATGATGAAACAGAAGGAGAAAGCGGTCATACTGTGCTACCAGCCCAGAGGGAAAATGACTTTCTGCGCTACAGTTTCTGCTAGCACAAATTTGGCAACTGCACTGTGCATATTTTCCACATTTAATTGTTTATACCAAACCTCCTCCTGGAGAGGTTCCCTGACTTCTTTTTCTATAACCCACTTTAAATCCACTTCCAAAGCTTTTGAGAAACAGACAAAACACTACAGGATCCTGAAGTCTCCAAGCACTAAGCACATAAAAAAACCCCTGCTACTCCAATCTATGTCAACTATGGGCCAATATTTTTCAACTCTCAGAGCCTGATCTTAATACTTGTGTTATTACTAAATAAAGATTTCCATGTTTAGAATTGAGCCTTGTCCAAAGCTCACTTATGTCAATAAAAAACCCTTCAGCTCAATAGCTTTGGACCTAATATTCCTATTCTTGGCATCTGGATGATGCTAGCTGCACTACTGACGTTACTGAAGCTCACAGTTGTCAGATCAGCATGTTTGCCAAGCACTGCTCTGGGGTATGTTTCAGAAAGAAAAAGAAATACTGTGTTCCTACATAAATCATGTTTTCAGTAGTACCACCATTCACAAGCCCCTATTCTATTTAATATGCTACCTGAAGGAAGCAACATTCCCTGACAAATGCAGCAAATCAGATATTTCACAAACAGATTCTTCTTCTTCGATTTTATTGCCAAGACCAGATCTTTCTGACATCTTCCAGTTTTTACAACAGTCCCTATCTGAGAAGGGAAAATGAAATAACAAGACTGCAACAAGCTGTCACTGACACTTCAGCATTTATTGTACCTCATTTATATACTTCATTTCCTTTAGTTTGTTATTTATTCCTCAATGTGTTTTATGTTCATTAAAGTTTTGCTACTTTAAAGTTACAAAATGAATTACATTCGCTCTATTTGAAGTAGCACTAAGAAATCAAGTAAAATTAGCCCTGTCGGAACAGGCTTTGCTATTTAAAAGATGTTAAAATGTTTTAGCCATTTTAAGTCATTCTTGCTTTCCCTATGGAGTGTCTGGGTGAGTCGCCCATTATAGTCACAACTAAAAGCAGAGAGCTCTCTCCATGACTCGCCTGGCCCCAGCTCGTAAACCAAAAAGAGATACCACTCCCAGTGCCTGACTCCACGACCATGAGAAAATCTTGAGCAGACATTCACAGACACAAAGGACCCGGGGATGGAAATGCTGCACAGGTCCTGTACCCTCAGCGGCTGCTGCCCTTCTGGGACTGACGACACTGGGAAACCCAGGGATCTGCAAGGCCCAGAGAGCAACTTGGGGTGCCAGTGGCTGGCTTCAACATGTCCCCTGAACTCCAGAAGAGCTTTTCACCCAATGTACCTAAGTAAGAGATGCTTTCAAACTGAAGAAAGTTACTTTCCTGCCTTGGGGTAGACTCCTAAACCTATAAAATACCCCCAAATGTAAAGGAGGGGCACTGAGTAGACTAGGCAAAAAAAAACCCTCAAAAAACCACCAACACCCCCCTGCTGCTGCCAAGAAAGGCCACAGTTGTATGCACACTCTAAGTTGGCATTAGCCAGTACTGTTTCTGAAAGAAGCTGTCCCACTTTCCATCAAACCATCTGTTTCTCTCCCGCTGCCACTCGATGCTTTGTGCCAGCATGAGAAGCTGTATAACCCAGACTGAGGGACGGCATCAGGCTGAAATGATTTATTTTAAAACCGTTTTGGTGAGGCTGGTTTCACCTGCATTGATTGAAAAGGGACACCCTTCCCCAGGCGGAGCCTATTCATTCTTTCCCACAGAGTTTGTCCGAAAGCAAGAAGTAGGCAACAAGGCCTCATCTTTTAATTTAGCTCACAGAAATTAATCTCACAAATCATTCCAACACACCCGCAGTAATGATAAGGAAATATTTCCTAATATGGAATAAAAACTGAATATTGGAGTTGTGCTGCACTCCAGGATTTCCTGCTATTCAACAACACTGAGCAGCAGAAGTCTCCCCTGAGCGACAACTGTGATGCAGTTCTCTGCTACTTTCAATGAGCAACAAGCACAGCTGACAAAAACAAATTCATTTCCCTGATGGGAAAAAATATGGGGTGGGTGAAACTATGTATGTATACACAAAAATATATACATGTATACACAAAAGTATGTACATCTACAACCATATAAAATATATGCACTTTGTTTTCTTCCTTTTAGAGCTAATCTTTTGTCCACTTCAAGTAGCAAAGAAACTTTTGATCCAAACTTCGTAACCTTTGCTTTCACTAACAACAGGAGACTGGTTACCTGAAGTTTAGAAACATAAATCCACTAATAAGGTCACTTCCATCTTGACTCCACTTGCCTCGATATTTGGTGATACAATTACATTCTTTATGCTCTGCTATCAATAGCTCTGTCCCAAAGTTAACAGTACATTTTGAGACATCCTGTACTCAGAACATTCACTCAGCATTGAATGACTTCCAATGACATACTGAAATCTTCACGACCTCAGTCCTTTCAAATAACTCCTTTCATTTTCTTTATAGAAGGTCTTTTTAAGACAATCCAATAGCTTGGGTTTTAGCAGTAGGCACTCAAATTGCTTTACTGTGCATGTGTGCGTGGCTGTAAGACAGGACTCCCCCACCCACCCCATTAACCTCATGTATCTTCCCTTTCTCCCAGCTCTCCTGCAGTTTCATAGTGTTGTAAATCTTTGTCCTCTCCAAAGTGGCTAAAAACAGGAAGCTCTTCTATCTATTGAAGTAATTGCATTCTTGTGCACTTAAGCATTTTCTCAGCTCTTAGCAGCTACTTGCATCCAGGCATATTCAGGAAAACATTGGTTTAAGATCTCTTAAATTAACGGGCATAAAAAAAGTCCACGCTAAATATTCTGCTGCAATGTTTTGGATCAGGAAATATTTACAAACAGAGCAAGGTCAAAGACCAAAAATCTTCTCCCTCCTCAGTTGTTTTCTGGATAAAATTATACTCAGGTCTAATGAAAGATATGTCCCACTCGAAAACATGCACAAGTGTCTAAAAGCAAAATTCAGTCACAGTGTATTTCTCTACATCTGGCTCTTCCATGGCCAAGAGACACAACTTAGGACAGAAATAAAGAATAAGAGGAGAAGCTTCTAATGCAGCACCTGCATAAAGTTTGCTTGAAATTGTAATACATTTTCAGCTTTGATGCAAGAAACTCTACTCTCAAATTTTAGGGATGTGTAAAGCCTTTCTATTTTCTAAGAAGCCCAGGGAAGCAGGAGCAGAAGGAGGCTTTGCCTTTGGGAACTAGAAAGGACTTTTGCATTGGAGAGTGCCCTCTTCTTTAGCATTAAGTTGCTTTTTTCTTTTTACTGATGTATGTTTGAATCCCTGACTCTTGATAGGCTCTTTCTAGATCACATCAATCAAATTAAGTATAGTAATTACGCATAAGTCTGTGCCAGCAAAGGAGCTGACCGCTAAATGAGATTCCGAACACCAATGACTGGCTATGGCCTGTGCAATGCCTCTAGTCAGGGTTAATGAGCACAACAGGTCCCTCTGGCCTTACAAAGCTGCAGATACAGACAGTGCATGTTGTTAGTATATGCAATACTGGAGGACAGATGTTTGCCCATTCAAATCCCACTACAACAGGTCATTTCTTTAGCTATGATTTTTGCAGAAGGAGACAGCTGTTGGTACATAAAGCAGACTACCTTGATGAGGCCCAGGACATTCAGAGATTAAAAGATGTTTGTGGTCTCCTGATGTAAGAGGAATACACGGTACCACCTTCCTAGTACCTGGATCCGAGAAGAATTGGAACAGTGGGGATGGAGCTGTGCCATACTCTTACCACCAATCCATCAGGAGCTCCGGCCATCAGTACCGAAAGTGAAGAAAGAAATATTATTTCATGAAGAAACTATAGCAGCAACATCTGATCCCTACAGTGATTAAAAAGGACAACTGAAAGAGAAAGCATTACCATTCTGCTTTATTATCAGACTGTTTTATGGGAGAACGGTCAATACAACTGTGTTTTTGCACTTCAACATTTATATCACTTTGAGAACATATATATCACTGTATCAATCGATATATCACTTTTAGAACAAAAATACTTTGCAAGTAGCTGTGGCTTATCCTTCTGAGATTTAGAGATTCAGGTATAGAGAAAAACAGCTCTTTCAGTGGCAAACTCACAGATCCTTGCTTCATGAAATCCAAGAGTCTTCCTGTAGGCTATTGCTTAATGCCCCACTGCTCATCTCCTCCAGGGCTGAAGAGCAACCAGAGGAGTGCTTTGCTATGGCTACGTGTATATACATATGACCCCTCCTACACAATCACATATCCACCCTTCTAGGAAGGTAAGAGAAAGGTGAAAAGGAAATAAAAGATTTACACCTAGGTGAAAGATGAGGTTTGTGATGGACATTAGTTTCCCGTGGAAGCTCATTCTCCAGTCTTGGCCTGAGAAAGCTCACTCAAAATGGGTGGTGTTTTCCTCTAAATTAATCTCAGAGATTTGATTCAACTATCTGGTTTCCTAGTTAAAGGACAAGAGAGGCAAAAGGCAGGTGTGGACAAAAGCAAGAGAAAGCGAGAGGGAAAAGGAGCAGAGAATATCTGCTTAAGTTTTTAAAAGATACTAAGGCTGCATGTAGCTGCTATGCTAGAGTTAAACATGTGAGAATAGGCAATTTTCAAGATTAAAAGAATAATAATAGAAAACCAAGTTTCATACACTTTCAAGATTAAATAGATTACAGCAAGAGTAAGAGAACAAGATGACAACCTCTCTACAAGCAAACCTCTCCCACCAAGAAAGCCTTCAGAACAGTCTGGCACCATATCCTGAGGGCTAAGCACACTCTTGACTGATCAGTAAAAAGGACTCTTCATGGAACACAGGTCACCTTACACAAAGGTACGGGCTTTGCAAGAAAGTAGAAGGAAAAGCAACACTTGTGTTCCTGCAGAATGGCTCTCACTATTCCTTTTCAAGGTGTGCATCTCTATTGCCCTCTAAGGTGACTAAGTGTCATTGTGCTTCCATTTCTTTATCTGTCAAGAGAAGACGAAGACAAGTGGAGTTACCTGGAGGAAATCTGAACAGAAATGCCAGTTTGCTGCAAACAGTGCCTCAAGATGGAGACTGGTGGAATAGCAAATGAAGTCTTTCAGGCAGCGATCTGAATTGCTTGACAAGTTGGATATATCCAGCTATTTCCCATAAATAGTAACCAGAGAAAAACCCAAATAAGCCATAGGAAGAATGAGATCATTTCCACTTTCGAAATACTATTTAACATTAACATTTCCTTATGGAGATGGGCCCCATGCACAAGGCTCTTACACAGAAAGGACAGACCTTGCTGCCAAGTTCTGTTTCAAGGAGTGTCTATGAATTGCTTCTTAGAGAGAGGTCCCTCCCTCTCACTTTGCTGATGTCTCCAGTCCTGGCCATGCACTCCTAGTTTTCCCAATAATGCAGGTACAGCCAAAAGCAAATTAGGTGAACTCAGCAACCTGACAAACCTAAGCTATCAACCACTCCCATCCTCCTGCAAAAAACAGACCATTCTTCCATAAAATCAGCAAGTTGGTTTATCCTGCCCTCCAACTACGCAACTGCTAAATTCTGTGAAAGTACAGCAATGAAACACGGATAGGCACAGAGGACAAGGGGAAGAACAGCACTGTCCCTTTTGCAGGCACCCAAATTTGGACTGCATCCAAGCAGGG